AGAACACTAGACAGATAGATAGATAGAACACTAGACAGATAGATAGATAGAACACTAGACAGATAGATAGATAGAACACTAGACAGATAGATAGATAGAACACTAGACAGATAGATAGATAGAACACTAGACAGATAGATAGATAGAACACTAGACAGATAGATAGATAGAACACTAGACAGATAGATAGATAGAACACTAGACAGATAGATAGATAGAACACTAGACAGATAGATAGATAGAACACTAGACAGATAGATAGATAGAACACTAGACAGATAGATAGATAGAACACTAGACAGATAGATAGATAGAACACTAGACAGATAGATAGATAGAACACTAGACAGATAGATAGATAGAACACTAGACAGATAGATAGATAGAACACTAGACAGATAGATAGATAGAACACTAGACAGATAGATAGATAGAACACTAGACAGATAGATAGATAGAACACTAGACAGATAGATAGATAGAACACTAGACAGATAGATAGATAGAACACTAGACAGATAGATAGATAGAACACTAGACAGATAGATAGATAGAACACTAGACAGATAGATAGATAGAACACTAGACAGATAGATAGATAGAACACTAGACAGATAGATAGATAGAACACTAGACAGATAGATAGATAGAACACTAGACAGATAGATAGATAGATAGATAGGTAGATAGATAGACGGATAGATAGATAGATAGATAGACGGATAGACAGACAGACAGAACGATAAAACAATGGACAGGCAAACACATAGAAGGATGGATGGACAGACAGATAGATAGATAGATAGATAGATAGATAGATAGATAGATAGATAGATAGATAGATAGATACTTCTAAAAATGATCAAACTTACCAACGATGACAAATCCATCAGTTTCTTTCTCAGAAGATTTTCTGGCTCCATCATTCTTGAATCCGAAAAACTTAAGCATATTGTGTGTCTGTTGAAAGCCAGAAATCAATCGAGTGTTACAAATCTAATATATCTATTCTTAATGAGTTCAAAACCCGAACGAACGTGGTCTATTTCTAACATGGGCTGCGATCTGGGCTGTAAGTTAGTTTAGGTTTTCCTTGACAGCTCGAGAGAGAAGAAGCACGTTAGCAAGCGTTACGCGCTCGGCAGCCATACAACATTTCTGCTGAAATACTGTAAACAACAACAAGAACAGTCTCTTTACATTAAATACTATCTTACATCAAATCATAGAGCAATAATATTTCACTTTGGTTGCGGTAAAAATGGAGCTACTCGACTGAAGTTTTGTTTACGAGTCCTTCTCACGCCGAGTCCGACTGCTTTTTCGCTCCGTGTGAAAACAAAGGAAAGAAGAGATTTAGTTTCGGTTTAAAAAACGCTACAACATAATAATAATAATAATAATAATAATAATAATAATAATAATATTTTACTAACATCCATTTAAATAGAGTGTCGCTCCAACACAAATATTAAAATATTTGATTCGAAAAACAATTAAAGTTATTACTAATTAAAAAGGAATATAATTAACTGTTTTCACACATCTGATCTGTTGTGTCATGTGACCTCTCATGCAGAACCGAAGGTCTCGAGTGGATCGCGACATGATGTCCGATTCTTTAAGCGGGAACTGACAGTACAATGAGCTGATAGTAGTGAGAATGTCTTATTATGGGAAAATACCAAATTCATAAAGAAAAATTGACTTAAACCCAACTTTTTTATATACAGAAAAAACATAGCCTAGTTACTTCTTGGTTTGAAAAAGAGTGCAGCAGCAAAGCGCACTAGGTCTCTGTGAAGCTTTGAAAGTTGTTTACACGACAGTCTCGTACCATGTTTGTTTTTCAGCTGTCTGTTCTCTTTTCCTAATTGTTGTATATCTGTTCAGCAAAATTGTATACTGTATTTTGATACACACTGTTGATTATACTGTTTATGATATGAATTTGACTTGCAATACAAAAAAAACGAACCGGTTCTTTGAACTGTTCAAAAGAACCGATTAGCGGAAATGATTCAGACTCACCACGACTAGGAACTATAGTCAACAGGCCATTTGTTTCTAACGTTGTTCTCTGACGCAACGGAAACGGTGTCATCGGGGAATAACGTTACGTCACTTGCTTCAAGTTTTCCCGCGATTCTGGTGTTAGACGCGACTGGTCGTGAGTCCTTTTGGGTTTTATTTCTTGTATGGTTTGCCATAAACATCCACAATGACAGGCGTTTACGAGTCTCCGAAACCCAGAATCAATGCGTCGCTGTTGTCTCAATTCATCGGTCGACCAGTCTGCTTCGTTGGACGCTTAGAAAAGGTATTAACCTATTATTATACACTAATACACATAGCCTGACCGTGTTAAACAATGAACATCTGTTAATGTATTTACTCCATACTGAGCCTTCTGACTGTGTATGTAACGTAATGAAAAACAAGGGTGAATGATGATAGAAGTGTTATCATATTATCATAGCAAGACAAGCCTATTAAGGCGAATTATTATGCATAATGCAAAATGAAAGCGATCTGTGTTGTGTGACGGTGTGCTACTTGTGTATTGACAGGTGCATCCTTCAGGAAAGGCTCTTACTCTGTCAGATGGAGAAGGGAAGTCTGCATCAGTGGAGCTCAATGATCCTGTGAGTGAACAGATCAGCACGCTGCTCCTCTAATATGTGTCTTATTGCAGTTTATTAAGGTGTTCTTTTCTTCTGACCCGTTTAGCTGGATGAAGAGCTGAGTGGGATTGTGGAGGTTATTGGGATGGTGTCGAACAAAGGAACACTTATGGCTGTTTCATATACTCCGTATCAAGAGGACAAAACCTCTTTCGGTACCCATTATTATATTGATTCTGAGTTGTATTGTTGTGTCATTGCATGCACTGGGATGTGAACGTTTTCTTTTGTTTTGCAGATGTGGAGCTGTACAATGAAGGCCTGAAAGTTCTCCATGATTTTCCCCAGCATTACCCGTTTGAGGTGTCGTTAAGTGGTTAAAAACAGCACTCATTTATTTGCCTTTTACAGTTTCTGGATAATTGGATATTTACTGTGTTTGTAAAAAAAAAAAAAACTATGTAAACATTGTGTTTGTTACTTGAAATAAAACCTTAAACCCTTGATCGCATTATTGACCATACATTGACAAAATAAGGTTGGAATCGGTCTACTGATTTACAGTATGAATTTTGAAATCATGAAGCACAGTGTGATTACGAGGCAAAATTTAAGAAATCAAACATTTTCTATAATTCATCTGTGAAATCTAGCACACCAATCTCTCATAACTAAAATGGATTTGCCTTCATTAAGCCACTTAATTGAATTATTATGAGGGGTTGGTGTGTTAGATCTTACAGATGAAGTACAGAAAATATTTGATTTCTTAGTATATTTCCAACTGAAGTGAACATTTTTCTGATGTGTTTGTTTCTAAATAAGGTTTACATGTTTAAATTCACATCGACTATGTACACAAATACAAAAAGTATGAGGTGATATGCAAGGTTGGTCTACAGATGTTTTTTTTTTTAATTCTAACTATAATGGGGAAAAATCAAGTTTAAATGATAGGCGTGTTATGATGTAGTTTTGTGTTTATATGGGCTGTTTTCTATATCATATAACTGAGACAGACAGACAGACAGACAGACAGACAGATAGATAGACAGATAGATAGATAGATAGATAGGTAGATAGATAGACGGATAGATAGATAGATAGATAGACGGATAGACAGACAGACAGACAGACAGACAGATAGATAGATAGATAGATAGATAGATAGATAGATAGATAGATAGATACTTCTAAAAATGATCAAACTTACCAACGATGACAAATCCATCAGTTTCTTTCTCAGAAGATTTTCTGGCTCCATCATTCTTGAATCCGAAAAACTTAAGCATATTGTGTGTCTGTTGAAAGCCAGAAATCAATCGAGTGTTACAAATCTAATATATCTATTCTTAATGAGTTCAAAACCCGAACGAACGTGGTCTATTTCTAACATGGGCTGCGATCTGGGCTGTAAGTTAGTTTAGGTTTTCCTTGACAGCTCGAGAGAGAAGAAGCACGTTAGCAAGCGTTACGCGCTCGGCAGCCATACAACATTTCTGCTGAAATACTGTAAACAACAACAAGAACAGTCTCTTTACATTAAATACTATCTTACATCAAATCATAGAGCAATAATATTTCACTTTGGTTGCGGTAAAAATGGAGCTACTCGACTGAAGTTTTGTTTACGAGTCCTTCTCACGCCGAGTCCGACTGCTTTTTCGCTCCGTGTGAAAACAAAGGAAAGAAGAGATTTAGTTTCGGTTTAAAAAACGCTACAACATAATAATAATAATAATAATAATAATAATAATAATAATAATATTTTACTAACATCCATTTAAATAGAGTGTCGCTCCAACACAAATATTAAAATATTTGATTCGAAAAACAATTAAAGTTATTACTAATTAAAAAGGAATATAATTAACTGTTTTCACACATCTGATCTGTTGTGTCATGTGACCTCTCATGCAGAACCGAAGGTCTCGAGTGGATCGCGACATGATGTCCGATTCTTTAAGCGGGAACTGACAGTACAATGAGCTGATAGTAGTGAGAATGTCTTATTATGGGAAAATACCAAATTCATAAAGAAAAATTGACTTAAACCCAACTTTTTTATATACAGAAAAAACATAGCCTAGTTACTTCTTGGTTTGAAAAAGAGTGCAGCAGCAAAGCGCACTAGGTCTCTGTGAAGCTTTGAAAGTTGTTTACACGACAGTCTCGTACCATGTTTGTTTTTCAGCTGTCTGTTCTCTTTTCCTAATTGTTGTATATCTGTTCAGCAAAATTGTATACTGTATTTTGATACACACTGTTGATTATACTGTTTATGATATGAATTTGACTTGCAATACAAAAAAAACGAACCGGTTCTTTGAACTGTTCAAAAGAACCGATTAGCGGAAATGATTCAGACTCACCACGACTAGGAACTATAGTCAACAGGCCATTTGTTTCTAACGTTGTTCTCTGACGCAACGGAAACGGTGTCATCGGGGAATAACGTTACGTCACTTGCTTCAAGTTTTCCCGCGATTCTGTTGTTAGACGCGACTGGTCGTGAGTCCTTTTGGGTTTTATTTCTTGTATGGTTTGCCATAAACATCCACAATGACAGGCGTTTACGAGTCTCCGAAACCCAGAATCAATGCGTCGCTGTTGTCTCAATTCATCGGTCGACCAGTCTGCTTCGTTGGACGCTTAGAAAAGGTATTAACCTATTATTATACACTAATACACATAGCCTGACCGTGTTAAACAATGAACATCTGTTAATGTATTTACTCCATACTGAGCCTTCTGACTGTGTATGTAACGTAATGAAAAACAAGGGTGAATGATGATAGAAGTGTTATCATATTATCATAGCAAGACAAGCCTATTAAGGCGAATTATTATGCATAATGCAAAATGAAAGCGATCTGTGTTGTGTGACGGTGTGCTACTTGTGTATTGACAGGTGCATCCTTCAGGAAAGGCTCTTACTCTGTCAGATGGAGAAGGGAAGTCTGCATCAGTGGAGCTCAATGATCCTGTGAGTGAACAGATCAGCACGCTGCTCCTCTAATATGTGTCTTATTGCAGTTTATTAAGGTGTTCTTTTCTTCTGACCCGTTTAGCTGGATGAAGAGCTGAGTGGGATTGTGGAGGTTATTGGGATGGTGTCGAACAAAGGAACACTTATGGCTGTTTCATATACTCCGTATCAAGAGGACAAAACCTCTTTCGGTACCCATTATTATATTGATTCTGAGTTGTATTGTTGTGTCATTGCATGCACTGGGATGTGAACGTTTTCTTTTGTTTTGCAGATGTGGAGCTGTACAATGAAGGCCTGAAAGTTCTCCATGATTTTCCCCAGCATTACCCGTTTGAGGTGTCGTTAAGTGGTTAAAAACAGCACTCATTTATTTGCCTTTTACAGTTTCTGGATAATTGGATATTTACTGTGTTTGTAAAAAAAAAAAAAACTATGTAAACATTGTGTTTGTTACTTGAAATAAAACCTTAAACCCTTGATCGCATTATTGACCATACATTGACAAAATAAGGTTGGAATCGGTCTACTGATTTACAGTATGAATTTTGAAATCATGAAGCACAGTGTGATTACGAGGCAAAATTTAAGAAATCAAACATTTTCTATAATTCATCTGTGAAATCTAGCACACCAATCTCTCATAACTAAAATGGATTTGCCTTCATTAAGCCACTTAATTATAATTATTTCTTAAATTTATATTTCCAATTTTACTGATGTATTTGTTCCTAAATAAGGTTTACATGTTTAAGTTCACATTGACTATGTACACAAATATAAAAAGGATGAGGTGATATGCAAGATTGGTCTACAGGCACGCTTTTTTATTCTAACTTTATAATGGGGGAGGACAAGGTTAAATGATAGGAGTGTTATGATGTAGTTCTGTGTTTATATGAGCAGTTTTCTGTATTGTATAACTCCAAGATGAGCCAATTAAGGCAAGTTATTATGCACATTGCAAGTAACATATTGGCGAAAAGTGATCAGTTTTAATGAATGAAGTAATATATTAGGCTGGTCTACAGACAACATTTTTGTTATTATTCCAAATCCTACATTCAAAGGAAAATGTATTTGTTGTTATTTCCAGGTCATTTTATTCAATGCTAGTCTCTGCACATTTTATTTTGGTCTTTTGCTTATATATTCTACAACTAGATGGCAATAAAGTGAAAAACTAAACCGGTATCTGACAGATTGTGACATGAGTTTTCTAAAACCAAGGCTTTAAGAGTTAAGATGCACTTTCTTTTTTCTCAGTAATTTTTACTGATTTTTTTTCTGGGTTTCCACACAAAACCTATAAACGTAAATCTTTCATAAATGAAAGTGTGCTCACCCTTAGTCTATCCGATATGTATAGCCCAGATGAGTTTGTTTCTTCATCAGAACAGATTTGGAGAAATGTAGCATTGCATCACTTGCTCACCAGTGGATCCTTTGCAGTGAATGGGTGCCGTCAGAATGAGAGTCCAAACAGCTGATAAAAACATCACAATAATCCACAAGTAATCCACACCACTCCAGTCCATCAATTAATATCTTGTGAAGGGAAAAGTTGCATGTTTCTAATGAACACATCCATCATTAAGACATTTTAACTTTAAACCATTGCTTCTGGCTAATCCCACTATCCGTAATATTGCTTTCTCCACTGAGAAAGTCTGAATGAGGGAAGAAATATGCACAGATCAAGCACAGTTTACAAGCAAAAAATAGACAAAAACAGTTCTCAATAAATATGTGGGATGATTTTGATGTGAGAGGGCAGCAGGGGATGGACTTTTTCACTGGAGGAAGCGTTATGGATTCTGGACTCGTCTTTTGGCCAGAAGCAAAGGGGCAGATTGTCTTGCCTGAATTAAGACTATTTTCAGATAACTAACATTATTTGGAACATATGGTCTTACTTCACAACAGTGAGCAGAGGACAGTGTTTCTACTGACACTCATAGGAAACTAAAACCATAATCCTGGAATGTTCTTCTTTAATTATGTGAGGGAGGCTAATATTTCTATCAAAAAAAAAAATTTCATCAATCAATAAATGGCAACGTGTCAGGAGGAGGTGAATGAGCCAAATACCTCAAGCAGTCACTTTAATAAAGGTATCATGTTGAGAAACTCCCCTATATTTGACAAGACAAACCATCTCCATCAGGATAAAAGCCATTAGATTAAAAGATGCATTCAGATGTTGTAATATTTATATGATGATCAATAGGTGCACTCTGTTGTGCTCAATGGTGTGATGAGGAGTTGCCTGAGGTCAAGCAGCTGCCATATTGTTGCAAGTTCAGACAAAGTGCTGTTTGTACCACTCACACAGTATCTATAGCTATCTTAAAGTTATGTATAAAGTCATTTTATTAGTACTAGTATATTGGATAAAAGAGGATCATCTTGGTTCATAAATTACCACGTGCCTTTAATGACCTTTGCCCTTAAATAAGATATGCAACATGCATAACAGAATGTATTTAAAATGCTTCATAATGTATTTTTCTTCTAAAATAGCCCAAAATAGCCTGAAAAATTCTGACTCATCTACTAGCATTGTGTTTAGTGTTTTCATTAGATCCTTTGCTCCGCGGATGTACTCACTGCCTCAGGAAGGCTTCTGCACATGGGCGTCGCTAGGTCATTTTTAGGGGGGCTATAGCCCACCTAAAATGACTACTCAGCCCCCCTAAAAATTTTGCCATTAGCTCCATAAACTGTACATGAATTCGTGATCGCCTCAGTCCCCTTTACATTTCATATGAAAATGGCGGCAGACATCGATCGGCTCCTCCCTGTCTTTCAGCGCGTTCTTTTTCAATCCGCCGACCGCGGCCACGCAGAGCAAGAAACAGAGGACAAGGTGTGTGTTTATCGATAGATTGTTATAATATCTGCATCTGCGCAGTTCTTTGACATAAATACGGTTTAAAAAATATCATGGGGGAGCAATCGGTTCCACATCTATACTGTAAAGTTTTCACTGCGCTCACCCCTCATCACACCACAGCTGTTTCCTCCAGTGAAAATTAAGCACATATGAACGCATACTTTATAAAACAATCATGTTGCCATTTTCATTTGAAAATTTTACTTTCAATGTAATACATTTTTCAGTGCATGTGGCAAAGAGGTTTGCATACTTGAGCTAAGGAAAGAGGGTTGTACTAGAAATACAAACAGTAACATTTTGTGTGTGTACAGTAAACAGGTGTGTGTGAGATCATGAAGATTTGTATTTGGCTTATTCAGTTATATGTTATACCTATCTATGCAATACAGTGGGATACAACACTTTTTGGTATATAAGTTTAGTACCACCCCTATTAGGCAAACATTTTATTTTATTTATATATATATATATATATATATATATATATATATAATACACTCATTGGGGGCTGAGCCCCCCTAAAATGAAAATCCTAGAATTGCCCCTGCTTCTGCATATTATCTTCTGACATGTTTAACAAATCACCCGAGCACAATTCAAGTTCAAGAAACCTTTCATAGCATGTGGTCACGTGTAAGTTGTAACAGTGTACGTGTAAGGTGCAACAGCACCTAAAGTTCACAACGAGTGAAGTTGAAGCTCATTCAGCGGTTGGTTCAAGTGCTTAAAGGCACAGAATGATTAAAATGCCACACCATTAATTTTTCCTTCTCATGACTTTGATGCGCCCCAGGCAGCAGATTTGGAATTTACTTCTATTTGGTGACTCAGTGAAAGAATTTAATAATGAAAAATGAAAAACGGGTTGTAAAGTAGAGCAGCAGAGAGGAACTGTCAAGTTTTAAAACTAACTTGTCAAACTCAACCAGAAACAATTTGTAGAAGAAATTAGCATGTTATGCTCATACTGTCAATGGAATCAGCACAAATTGACATATCATATTTGGAGGAAATCTGCAGTAAATTAACCTTTATCAGTAAAATATTTTCTAAATGGCTTTATTTCTAGGTCACACTTAAAAAATGGTATGGTTTATTCAAGTAAAAAAAAAAAAATTAACATCACTGAACCAACCTATATACTGTACATCAATTTATACCAACAAAACGTCTCAGGTTACCTAGGTAACCATGGTTCCCTGAGAAGGGAAGGGGAGCACAGCCATATCCGGGGGCAGATAGATCCAACATAAAGGCAACTGACCAAGGAGGTGACAGAGACGGGCCTAAAACTTAGTTAGTTGCAAATGGGGTTCTTCGGGAGCAGCGCTCTCGGCTCTCAAGCTGAGGCAGGCCCTACAGAACATACTGGGAACGACTCATAGCTAACCCTCACAGAGAGGGGAGCACTTCTCAGCTCGACCAGAAGGGGGCGCTAGATTAGAAGGGGTAACCCAGCAGGGCCCAATAAGAGACAGTCCACTGGTGCAGCTGGACACGGTCTCATGCTCTCTATCTCGATAGAGAGCGTGGGTCCCGTATAAGCAGAAGATGACAAGGTTTGGAATAGATATGACGTGACCGTTTTCTGAACTGTGTAGTTCAAGGAAACACTCAAAACAAGTAGATACCAGATCCAAAGTCTGGTACACACCTACACATTCTTTATTATTGTTTTTACATTGGAGAATAATACTAAAGTCATCTTAACTATGCAATAGACAAACTAAAGGGTAAATTAATTGTACTTATTTTGTCTTCTGGGAAACATGTAAGTATCTTCTGAATGGCAGTGCTAAATAAAAAATGTGATATTTAAAAATAAGAACATTTTACACATCTTCATCCTGTTCAAAAGTCCCCCACCCCCTCTGGAGCATCAGTACATGAATGAACCTTTTGTAATAGTTGTGTATAAGTCCCACAGTTGTCCTCAGTGTGAAACGATGGATATCAAAATCATACAGTGACTGCTGGAAAGGGTTCAAATATGCAAAAGATGCTGGAAAACTAAAGAATGTGTGTTTGTAATTTCACAGTTGTAATACCATAACGTGAAAGCGCCGCTTTTCTATCGCAAACGTGCCGAATCTGCTGATGTAATTACAACCGCTAATGAAGGGTAGGAGGAGGCTGGGGGAGAGGTGAGCTCTCGTGCCTCCGTTGGTCAAAAAAATTAGCCAATCACCATCGAGTGTTCACTTTAAATGCTGAGGAGTGTTGAGA